AGTCGCTTCATGAAAGTGGCTCTTGGCGACTTGACATTTTAGGATCCAAAACCGCACGGTGTCCCGTTTCGGTGGGCTGGGAACGTGGAGTGGAAAATGGTACCTGAATTTGCACGAGGCATTATCAAGCCAGTCCGGACCTTGACGTTATAGCCAAACTGTGCCCGTTAACGTTATGCGTACCGTCCAGGGACCGTCTTTGCTGCAATGTCTGAAACAAAACTGACTTCTTTCTCGCTATGGATTCAGGGCTTGAGAGTTTCGCCTGAAAATCCCATCGCCCCGTCCTGTACCTAATGCCGCAGCATGTTTGGGGACGCACTCTACTCCGTACAAACTTTCCGTCATGTTAGCATTGGCTGGGCCTCGCCAGGCGCCCAAAGCACCGTTGCGAAAACTTGGGAATATCACGAACTACGGTGACTGGTAGGCACAGTACTTACGTTAATTACCGGCATACCTCCGTACCCTGGGCGGGATTCCTGTTGTCGAATGAGGCTGCCCAGGGACCGTGCGAGCCACTGGCAATTCGAGCTGGCATCTGAAAAGAAAACGCACGATGCTGCGATGATGCGATGCGTACGAATTACAGACCCCCCACCTTCGATGCGTTGTTGTTCTTGAAGGGGCCGTTATTGGTGCATATCGCGTCCATCACTGCTTTTGAACGCCGTAGGTTTGGCAGCTTCTGCGAATCGCCAACCACCTCACGACTGGGTGCGTGTGAACATCCTCTGCTTGGCAACAGCCGAATTACTAGCGCTAGCAGTTCACTGCGGGGGCTGCGGGTGGAAAACTCAACCTAGCCTGTATCCAAGAGGCGGAACGGGCGCAACCGCAATGATTGCAACGGCGACGACACCCGACCCGCTAACTCTCCATCCCTACGCAAATGCGACATCAGAAAGCCAGGCGTTCCGTCGCGTCCGAGTGCTGTGCTTGTTATTCTTCCTTTCACAATTATCCAAGGTCATTTTGCCATTTTCAACAACATTACAAGACAGACCTATTGCGGCCAACCACTGGCCAGTCGACTCTCCATTGGATCACCTCGTGAGGGGATCAGAATTGTTTCTGAAAAAGCACCGTCGGCGTGACCCTCGAAGCAGCCCAGCATACGGGAGCCAACCTTGCTCGTTGCTTTTTTGCTGAGTCGGGCCTTGGAAGTGGGCTCTCAAATTGCGCTCCAGAAGGAGCAGTGGTGCTCCGAATCACTAGCGAGATTGGGGTCCCCTATCTTTTTTCTGGAAGTCCACCCTGGCTCCAGTGATTCATGCTAAGGACGGACCCCATCTCCCACAGAATCGACGGGCCCTTCCTCTTCCACCCAGCGACACGGACGAAGTGCAAAATCAGTTCGCCAACCCCCTTCACTCAAGACCCATGAGGGAGCTGGTTACTTTCCCTGGAATTATCTGGTTCCGCTCGTTCCTTCAACCGTGTTCCTGCTCTCTCTCTCCCCCTTCACTTGTCCCGCGATTAGACCAACTTGAACCTCCCGAGTAATCCGCAGTTACCAGAACGAACCAGCCGCAGCTGACACAAGCAAACGCTCTCTCTCTCGCCTGCTAGATTTCCAGCCTCGCATCACCGGCGTGGAATTGGGAATCTCGACGACCCACAAGACTCGGTTGCACCCTTGGAACCTCACAATCATTTTGTTCTCCTTTTATTACACCCGCTACTTCGGTTCTCTCTCTGGGTGGCCCCGTCTGAGGTTTGCTCCCAGGCTACTCCGCCGGTTTCCAAGCCCCCGGTCGTTCCACGCATCCGCTACGCGAGAGAAAGACTGGTTTCGGTGCTCTCCCCTGACATCCTCAACTCCTTTTTATCCTGTGAACCATCACATGTCGCTCCTTTTCGAGAACAATCTCGTCCACTCTTTTCGATTTGGCAATCCAACTCCTGTCATTCCCTGCAACACCAAGTCGACTTAATCTCACGCCAACTTAATCTCACGCCATTGAGCACGGCGACTGTCCGATCCCAGCTAGTGGTGACTGCTTCGACGCAACCGGTGTCCAACCTATTTTACGAAGTCACCTAGCCGCCACACCAACGTTTCTGGATGTCGCGGTGACGGCGTGTAACTCTTGAAAGCTTTCATTTTTTTTTTAAAACATCCGAACCTCTCGGCGCTGCGCTGCGCGCAAGGGCGCGTCCGCTTCCCAGCTGTTGCTTATCCTGCGACCAATTTCGGAATTGATATACCGCAATCATGACTGTCGCTCACGATCTCACCCGCCGGGCGTCGACACAAGCTATCAACGGGATGGCGCTCGAAGACAGGTTCGAGGTGCTGAAGGAGATTGGAGACGGGAGCTTTGGCAGTGTGGTGCTCGCTAGGGTACGGAGTGCGGGCGCCAGCGTCGCCCGTCGGGGCACAATAGTAGGTACTGCCTCGTTCCTGCCGCAGTTTGATAATCTAACAGCGTGCCATTCCAGATTGCAATCAAAACAATGAAGAAGACGTTTGACTCATTCTCAGCGTGTCTGGAGTTGAGAGAAGTTGTCTTCCTCAGGACATTACCAGCCCATCCCCACTTGGTTCCGGCACTCGACATCTTCCTCGACCCCTTCAGCAAAAAGCTCCACATTTGCATGGAGTACATGGAAGGAAACCTTTACCAACTGATGAAGGCCAGGGACCACAAATGTCTGGATAACGCGAGCGTCAAGAGCATCTTGTTCCAGATTATGCAAGGACTTGAACACATCCACGCCCACAGCTTCTTCCACCGTGATATCAAGCCCGAGAACATCCTCGTCTCAACATCAGCGCATTCGGACTACACCAACTCCTTCAGGCGATATTCGGCCTTAGTGACGCCGCCTTCGACACCACCGACCTACACCGTCAAGATCGCTGACTTTGGCCTTGCCCGGGAAACACATTCGAAACTGCCATATACGACCTATGTCTCGACACGGTGGTATCGCGCCCCGGAAGTGCTGTTGAGGGCTGGCGAATATTCAGCACCGGTGGATATTTGGGCCGTCGGCGCCATGGCCGTGGAGGTTGCGACTCTTAAGCCCCTTTTCCCGGGTGGGAACGAAGTAGACCAGGTCTGGAGGGTATGCGAGATTATGGGAAGCCCAGGGAACTGGTACAACAAGGCTGGTGGCCGAGTCGGCGGTGGAGAATGGAGGGAAGGGACACGCCTCGCCGGAAAACTGGGCTTCTCGTTCCCAAAGATGGCTCCGCACTCGATGGATACGATCCTGCAGGCACCGCAATGGCCCGCTTCCCTCAGCCAATTTGTAACTTGGTGTCTGATGTGGGATCCGAAGAATCGCCCGACATCGACTCAGGCGCTTGCTCACGACTACTTTGCTGATGCTGTCGATCCTCTCCGGCCAAAGTCGTCAGCGTCCAAGATTCTTGGCCGGAAGCAGTCGGATATAAGTAGGGGCAAGGACTCTGTCGCCTCAACGCCGACCTCATCGAAGCCATCATGGTTCAGGAAATCATTGATTGGGCGTGCTGAGAGTGTTGAGGTTATTGCTGCACCGCAACCGCAGAGTCTCAAGGAGGTTACTGCTCCCCGTCCGGCCCCTATAATACCCGCCGAGCCTCCGGCACCGAAGCCGAAGCCGAATCCCGCAAAACGAGCTACATGGACAAACGGCCCCTCAAACGTCGCCCCAATGCCGATCCTCCCAACCATCCGGCCTATCTCTCCGTTGTCCGATGCCGTTACCGCACAGGCAAGCAGCAGGGCGCCAGCGTACAACGACACGTATGCGAACGGAATCCAGGCGCCCGCCGCAGTCGAAGAGAAGGGCTCCAAAAAGATTGGCCGGCAGCTATCGGTAACATCGAGCACCAACAACTATGCCGAGATCCACAGGCAACAAGCTGAGCGAGCCCTCAACGGGAACTCGGGTCTTGCGTCTCCGACAAGCGGCCACAAAGAGAGCTTCTTTTCACACCTGCGGAAGAGGGCGAGGAGGTTCTCCGGCAGGCACCAGACGCCGATGTCGCCAAGCTACGATGATCTGGAGGCGCAAGCCGGCTGTGGTCCGTGGGGAAGTAACAGATCTTCCATGGTGATCGACAGCCCGTCTTCGGGCCCTGTCGCGAAAGACACGTATGAGTCCCTGGACAAGACATTGCGCGACGGCCCGCAGATGCCCGAGGTCCCTCCCGCACCCCCTGCTCACCAAGTAACGCCGACCAGTACGCTCAAGCGGCACCATTCCCTTCCGCATCACCAGCCGAGGTCCGTGGATAATCTCCTTAGCACCACCAGGGGGGTAGGTCCGGTCTCGAGCCGGACACGGAGAGCACAGGCTGCACAGGGCGTCAGCCAGTACGACGCGCCGGACGAAGAAGACGAACTCCTGGACGAGGTTTTGGTCTCTACCCACCGTGCTATGAAACGGCTCGAAAAGGAAGATCGGACACTCAGACAGGCCGCGAGCAATATTGGGATGACCAACCCGTATCCGACCCCGTCACCGTCTGCAAGCGGCAACGTGATGCTCTTTGGCGACGGCAAGGAGGCAATTACACCCAAGCCCCTCGACTTCAACAAGAAGACAGCCGAGTACAAGTGGCCCACTCCTCCCTACGAGGAGAATGATTGGGCAAGCTCGGCGTCAGCAAGCATCTGGGCGGCAGGGAACCGTTTCTAGATGATTGGCACGCTAGTTCCATACTTCGGGTTGATAACACAAAAGTCTTGATCCTGACTGGGTTTCACTGGGACGGTGTTTTGGGTTGGTATTCTGGGGGGCATTATCATCGTCATCATACGCCATCGGTTGCATCTCGCATTTTCGGCCCCTCGTTTTTGGTATCGTCTGAGCTTCTTCTTGAGCACACGCCTTTCAAGCGTGGATTTGTTGTGGGAGGTGTGGCTCTCTCTTCTCATCTTGCAAATACCCCTCAGGATGTCGCCTGCCTTTGTTTCGTCTACTACAGATTCTAATACCTCGTATTGTACCTTTTGTTCCCTTCTTCCTGCCCTCAAAAATACCCCCATATAGAAGATTGAGAGGCTGAGACATTTTGTTTTGGTTCAGCCAGTGCAACAGACGTTGCCGCGAGCTATCAAGTCACTGTCATTTTTGGCGTCAGATCAAGAAGTGGTGGTGTCGTTGTTTCTTGCTTGGGCTTTTGCGCTTTTCCTTTGTCATCACACTCAGAAAACACACGGAGGAGAGGGAAAGACTGCTTTTGGGTTGGAGGTTTCCCATACTACTATCATTTTTATTACTCGCGATATAGGCAGCCGACCTACACCTTCTTTTTTCACCATTGCTTAGCGCACCTCCCTGGAAAGAACTCAGTCAGTCATTGTTGTTGTCGGCCGCCGGCGGTACATCGTTGGCGCAGATATTGTCATCACTACTCCAATCGAATTTACCTTTTGTCCCGTCCCGACTTTGGTCTTTGTATAGCAGGGCCGACTAGCTACCTGCCCTCGATTTTCATATTTGTTTATATATATTGCACTACTTGTTTGGATAGGGTTCTGAGAGACCTCTCTTGTAAGGGTGAGGTTGTAGTTCCATAGTATAAAGGGGGGATGCGAGATTATATATACATGTTCGGTACCGTGACTATTGTATGACGAGTGGGTCTTGAAGTTGGCGAATCAAGCGCGAGAGCGGCAGGATGAGATTGGATTGGGCTTTCGCAGGCTGCATTGCTCTCCTCTCTACCAGGGTCATTGAGTTGGGTGATTTTGATCAAGTGCCTTCCCCTTGATGCTGCTTCAAATGACACATTGGAGTCAGACTTCCTGGCGATGTGTGATAGGTTATGCAGAGAAGATAAGCACCAAGTAGTAAGTACTAGTAGCTAGTATTGCCCTACCCCGTTGGCTCATCTGTCCGTCTTTTGCCAAAGTCACCTACAGGGTAGCCTGGGTAGGCACTAAGTAGGTTCAACCGGTGAGTGGCCGAGCATCTTGATTGATTTAAGGTTACCGGCAATGAGCTACTCTGGTGGTTTACGTCAACGTCATATCAGCAATCTGTATCGTGAGTTTCTTCGAGGTTGCATTATAGGTAGTATCTATGGGAGCTTTGATTATACCTTGATGAATCTTTGATGATAGCTTTCTCACATCAACTTCCCGTTAATCCTATACTAGGTAGGTAGACGATTTCATATCGACGAGGGTCGTGAGATTTGAGTTCTAAAGGAGGTGCCTTCACTGTCTTCAACTTCAATCATAACGAGAAACAGAATGGGGCTCGTTAAAAGGTAGTTATGTGATGCAATTCAGTCTTGCTGTTTCGGTAGCATGTTTGTGAGCTTGGATGCAGTTATCATGAGCTATGTAGCTGAGCCAAAGTTATTCTTGGACTTGACATTGCATCTGCCAAGCTATTGAGGCTATATACGGAGGTACGAATAGGACCAATGCTGAATTGTAAATACGTCCAGGCTCGGCGGGCTATTTACTCCACTTTTCATGCACAGGGGGCAAAGGGGGGAAGGTGGTGCGAAGCTGAACAATCACTCACAGGCAACAGCACTTGGCAGGGCAGGCCTCGACCCGCCACCTCCAGAACAATTGCATTTGTTAGCACCGGCAAGTCTGCGTAACGTCGAATGAATCCTACGACCATCCTGCCCCTATTCAATATTATCACCTTCATTCGCTATACGTCATCCATTTGACACGCGTCCAGGTGCAGGTGGTTGTATTGTGCTGTACAGTACTTTTCTCCATACGGAGTACCTGGAAAGCAATCAACCCCTCATCTCAGCTCAGGTGGGCCCCGCAATTCACTCTACCCTCAGATGTGAAGGAGCTGCTCTGGTTTTGGATGACAGATTGAAAGTGCCTACCTAATCTGGCTCTCCTCAGTGTTCGCTTCGTGCTTCTTGTCTTCTCACTCGTTTCTTTCTCTCTTGGCGGTATAACCTCTTACAATCTGCAATTGCTTTTTGTACTGTGTCTGTGTTGGGGTCTCCGTGTGACTTCGCTTTGCCAAAGCGGCTCAGGGGCATCTTTGGTGTGCGCCTTGCCATGAACTTGAGGTGTCTATGAGGTACCAGATCGAAGTGTGACCACCATGAGCATCTCTTTACCCATCCACCCATCACAAAGTCAGCGGAATAAGAGCAGCCGGAGCTACTTCACCAACAGCACGACATCTTCATCGGCCGAGGCCATCAATGGCCCTGTGAGAGAACCAGCCAAGGACCCGCCCGCCATCAATGACCGGCTCATTGTGGGGGTCGATTTTGGAACTACTTTCTCTGGGTGAGCTTCTGTCCGCTTAGCCAGGATCCAGATGGGTTTGCACGTCCAGAATTTTCTCAGCTAACGGACTTGTCAGCGTTGCGGCCGTTTACACGGGGACTCCCGACGATATCGAAATCATCAAGTCATGGCCCGGTGGAAACGGTATCACCTCGGACAAAGTCCCGACCGAGATATCCTATGACCTTCCGGCCAATGCACCGCCTGGCACTGCCCCTACCGTGAAATGGGGATTCCAGTTCAAACCCGAGGAGTCGCGGCTCAGATGCATCAAGCTGTTCCTTGACCGTTCGCAGAAGCTCCCCTTCTACGTCAGCCCGCTGGAGACGGCCGCTCAGCTCAAGCGCTACAAAAAGACCGTCGTCGATGCCGTGAGCGATTACCTTACGCAGATCTATAAGCATACCATGGACACACTCACTCGGCGCTACGGCGAGTCCTTCATGGCGTCAACCAAAGTCGACTTCGTTTTGACATGCCCCGCCGTCTGGTCTGACGCCGCCAAGAACACGACTCTCCAGGCTGCTGAAAGAGCCGGGATGGGCGCCCAATCGCAGATCCAGATGATCAGCGAGCCCGAAGCAGCTGCCGTTTATACCCTCAAGGCCATCCAACCCAACAATCTGAAGGTGGGCGACAACTTCATCGTCTGCGACGGTGGTGGTGGCACGGTTGAGTGAGTTCTAATATCTGGGCTTCCCATTTCGGTGAAGCGGTATGCTAAACATCTGGGGGAACAGCTTGATTGCTTACAAGATAGTGTCACTGAAGCCGATCCGTGTGGAGGAATCTGCTGTTGGGACTGGAGGTCTATGCGGGAGTGCTTTTCTCAACTATAGGTTCGAAGAGCATGTAAAGACCCGGTTAGGACAGAGTCGATTCGACGAGATGAAGGTGAAGAAAGGGAAAACATGGCAGATGGGCCTGCGCTACTTCGAGGAATTTGTCAAGCGCAACTTCAACGAGGAAGAGCACCAGGAAGTAAACATCCCGTCAGTGAACCCCTTCTCTGTGAGATTGATGCAGCTTCCCTGACCCTGGTATTAGATTCCCTGGCCTTCCGGACGACGAAGAAGCTGGGCTCGACTCTGGCTTCCTCGTCATGACGGCAGAACAGATCAAGGATATCTTTGAGCCCGTGGTGAAGGAGGTCTGCGATCTTGTTCAGGGGCAGGTAGACAATCTCCGGGCCAAGGGCGGCATCGTGTCCGGCATCATCCTGGTCGGCGGATTTGGCCAGAGTGACTACCTCTACCGTAGACTCAAGGCTCGCTTCACCAGTGCCGCACCGCCACCGTACACCGAGCGGCCAACCCACTCAAACATTGACCTGCGCGAAAGGCCCTCTATCGAGGTCATGCAGCCCGTCTACGCCTGGACCGCCGTCGTCCGGGGGGCAGTTCTGCGCGGCCTTGAGGGCAACATGGTGATATCCCGGAAAGCTCGGATGCACTACGGCACGTCGTACGCGACCGTCTACGACGAGACGAAGCACTCGGTTTCGGAGCGGTACTGGTCACCTCTGTGGGAGCGCTGGATGGTCTCGGACCGCATGCAGTGGCACATTGCCAAGGTGAGTCTGTTCTCTTTTTTCTCACTGGCGTCTTGCCATGGCCGATCCAATACAAGACAGAGACAGACAACCTGACCATTTTGACCAGGGCGAAGCCATATCCCCTCTCCAACCCATCGCGTTCCACTACACTCGCAACTTCCACCCGGGCCAGTCTCTCATCGTCACCGACGACCTCATCGCCTGCGAGGCCGATGACCCGCCAAAAGCCTACACGCGCGACCTGATCCACGTGTGCACCCTCACCACCGACCTGAGCGCCGTCCCGCGCAGCCTGTTTACGCGCCTCACCACCACGCGCGGCGTCGAGTTCGATAACCTCGACTTTACGCTTGAGATGATTGTGGACAGCGCCGGGCTCGGCTTTGAGCTCAAGGTTGACGGGGTCAGGTATGGACGGGTGGATGCCGAGTTTCACTGATGGATGGTTCTATGTGATGTTGTTGAGGGAAGAGGGTGCATTGATGCCTGGGGGGAAGGCGGGTTGGGGAGGGGGTGATGTGATTCTCAGATCTGTTGGAGACTAAGCAGCGAGCGGGGCGTTGTAGGCTGGGGGCATTTGGTTTGGTTTGGTCGCTATATATATATATCGGACAGCTCTCGCGTGATTATATCGTCTGTTGGACGGTGGACATGTAGATCCTAGATCCTGATATGATTTGAAGCTTTTGTTTTGTTAACTATCAGTCTGACTGTATAGACCGTAGACAGATCTTGAGGGGTTGCAACAGTAGATGTGAGAAGGGTACAAGGTGGACTTGACAAGTCGTCATCGCTCACTGCACGGTGGGAACCTTCGAGGAGGCCAACGGGAGAGGACGGTGCAATAGAATTGAGAAGGTATGCTCTGCTCTGCCGTTCATGATTTACGGGGTGGGAATGCTGATATCTCCCGCAAGCAATATAATGGCAGAGAAGTCCAGACAATCAGCTTTATTTCCTTTTAGATCACGGCAAAGTGCTTTTTAACTCCTGATCCTGCCGCAAAGTCCCGTGCCATTTCCTACTCAGCGTCACGCCTCAACCCCTGAACTGCCGTCCATATCACCCATCAATCCAGCCACTCGCCCTCACCTTTTCCCAAGCAGACTCAACCTCTCAAACTCCCCCACAACAGGCGGCGCCTGGCGCGCTTTAACAGCCTCCAAACTGTCAAACAGCACACCCTCCCCGCCAGCAGGCCTATACCGCGCCGCCGCCGGGTCGTAGCCCTCCCCAGAGATTGGACCTAGCGGCACCTGACCGTTACCAACCCCCTCGTCCGCAGGAACCAAACCCGAAGCAGGCCACACCTCATCAACAGCCGCCTTGCAACCCACAACAACCTGCACCATCAAATCCTCGATCGTCCTCGCCCGCTCCGCCATGCCCCTCCTAACCAGCCCAAACACAAGCCTTTCCACCTCAGGCTTGGTCGCCTCGACCCTCTCAACCAACCTCCGCACGCTGTTAACGAGGTACTCCTCTTCGTAGACGGTGCCTTTCCGGCCGCGCGCGCGCTTCTTTTCTTCCCTGCGACGGTTCTTGCTCGTCGCGCGCGAGACGTTGCTGCCGAGGGTGCCCACGCTGCCAGCGCCGCCGCCTTTGCCTGTGTAGCGGGTGAAGAGGCTTGCGCTGGTGCTGAGGCCGGACGTGGAGGCGGCGATGGAGATGTCGTCGGGGATATCACCACCATCACCACCGGTATTGGCATTGGTGCGACTGCCAAAGGGGTTCTCGCCCTCGTAAAAGGCGAGGGGGTCCTCGCGGGCGCGGCGCCGCAATTCGGCGATGCGCGGCACCTGCGCCTTGAGCTGCTCCCTGCAGTCGGCGAGAAACTCGGTGCTCGAGGAGAAGGCTTCTGCGAGGCCCGTGTCGATGGTGGTCTCGAGTAGGTCGATTCGGTTGTGCAGGGCTGCGAGCCGCATGGCGTCGGCAAAGAGGTAGCCCTTGCAGAGCTGCTGGATGGCGGTGTCGACTGAGGAGAGGTAGTCTAGGTAAATGGCGGCGGCGGCGGCGTAGTCTTTTGCCTCGCGAAGGGCGTCGGCGAGGGAGGTGGCGATTTCGGACAGTTGGGAGGGTGTGAGGGGCGGGGACTGCTGTTGCTGCGCGGCGTAGAGACACTCACGCCAGCAGGACGTGCCGGCTTTGAGGTAGCAATCTGTAGCGTCGCCGAAGTTGCCGAGGGATTCGTAGGCGAGGCCGGCTTCTTTGAAGCGGGAGGTGGATTTGAGATACGAAGCGAAGAGATCGGTTATGGCCCGGTGGTGCTGTTCCTCGTGGCGGTAGATTTTTAGAGCGTGTTGATAGAGCTTATGTTTTACGATGTAGTTCTTGACATCATCGAAATTGTTGAGCGCCTTCAAGTGTTCAAGAGCCTTTTCCCAGTGTTGCAGCTTGTCATCAATCGTGAACTGCCGCTTCAATGCCGGCATCTTGTGGAGCTCCTGAATGAATGGCAGGTATTCTCGCGGATCCCGCTGGGATTGCTGAGCCACCAACAAGGTAAGGTCGAGGTTGTAGAGACCGAGGGCATGGTCATACAGCTTGTTGACATCGGTCAGGAAACAGATGTGCTCGACTGCACGCTCCGCCAGCGTCTCGTCTTCCTGCATAAGCTCGGCAACCACGAGCAGGCCATCGTCAAGCGCCGGCGGATTCTTGCAGACGTAAGCCGTAATAATGTTTTGGAGGTTGGCATTCTTCTGAGTTAGGAGTCTCCGCAAAACAGCGTCACAGATTATGTTGACCTTGCCCGGCTTGACCGCGGATTTGGTGTCCAAAGGGGTTTCTCGTAAAGGAGCCGATTTGGTGTCTCTGTACATTGTTTGGGTGACATCTTCGTCCCTAAGCAGGAGATGTCAGCACACCCAGTAGTGTAGTATACACGTTTCTCAATGACACAACGTACTTCAGCGTGGAGAGAAATAGGTCGATGTTGGCTGCATCCTTCACCTGGTCTAGGAAAAGGCCTATATTGTCCAGGAACTGCTCGGGCCGGTGATCAAAGAGTAGATTCATATCCACGCGCTGGGTTCGGCATGTGGCAAAAGCTGAGCCGTAGTCCTTGTTCTCAATGAGCTTTCTGATCCCAGCCAGAACCATGGCACGCGGATAGATGGTCTCAAGGTTGCCACGCGGCATCTGGAGGACCAGGCTCATCTTGGTAGGCATGGCCGTGACGAGCCTCCCGCCGCGTTCAATGCTCCGGCATCGTTCGTCCTTTTCGGGGTCATCCGGGGGCACATCGAGATCTGTAACGGTCAGGCTCTGTCTTGGTATCTCATCCAAATAACCACCTACCTTGCTCAGCGGCCAGATGGACGAATTTGACAAAGTGGTTGCTGGTTGTAAAGATGAGATGACTGTCCGTGACAAGAAACGAGGTGCAGTTCTTTGCAAGCTGTCGCTTATTGGCATAAAGTTGACCGTTTCTCGATAAGCCAAATGCAAGGAGCTCCTCCCCAACAGCGGTGAAACTGGCCCACGGCAAGAAACTAGGGAACTGAACGGGAAGAAGCCGGTGCTCTTTAGACGATACAGCTGTAAACCTCCCAGAAAACTGCTGGGTCACAACACCATCAACTGAAGAGGAGTCGGACGATAATATTGTCGCAACTGAGTTTGCCTCTGTCTTTATCCAGCTTCTAGTCGTTTGATCAGCAGCCCCAAAGTCACATCGCAACAGCTCGAGATCCTCCGCCATGTGCAGGACCTGAACCTCGCTCAGACCTGAGAAGGCCACTTGGAGCGGTGACTCTTCGTACAGTTTGAGGCTGGTCTTGTCGAACGCCATCATGGACACAAGCCTTGGACTGGACAGGCGAGAGCCTTTAGTTTCGAGGGTAAAAAAGCTGACACCAAGTCGGTGCAGGACAGCCATTGAGGAGCAGTCTGTAGCGAATGCGACATCGATGACAGGAGACTCGACTTCGAGTTCACACATGGCCATCGGCGGCGGGACGTTAGCGGTCCGGAAAGGGGTGAATTTGACGGTCCGTCCATCAATCACTGCAGCAGCTCCGTGGTCATGAGGCGGCCTTGTCGGGCCTCTCGCGACAGCTAGCACATATTCATTGACGAGTACCTTGCCTAAGCGCCGTGTTAGTTGTCCAAGGGCCAGGGAGGGGGCTTAGGCAAGACTCACTGCTTGTGGCAGCAGCGAAAAGGAGTGGTTTTTCGGCATGCCACGAAAAGTATGGCCTTTTGATTTCCTGCTCACAGAGAACTTCCTGTTTCAAGTACCAGTGATAGTTACCCATCGTCCAAAGCTGAATTCTATCCTTCAGAATGACAGCGAGGACGGTTGAATCCGAGTTCCACTCAAGGGCCAAATCTCGCATGGCATCTGGCGCATCGCTCGGGGCTCGTAGGGTGAATTGCCCATGCCGCAAGCCGTTTCTCTCGAAGAAGGCCACATCCACACGGTCTGGAAGGCGCTGTATCCCAGCTATGAGGTTCCCCTCGGGTCGCCAGTTTAGAGCACCCTCGAGCCCGTCAACGGGCTCACTGACGCTGTCCAACTCACCATCGCGGTTATAGACACGGATGACGCGCCGCAGCCCTTCCTGGAGAAAATTGACAGCGACGTAGGCGCCATCTCCCCTCCAGCTGATGGTGCAGCGCCCATCATCCTCCGGGCTCAGAGTGCCCTCATCCACCTTCTCAGGGATAGTGGGATCTCGCAAGGCCTTGGCCTTGGCACCCCTGCCCTGAAATTGGGTCTCCTTTTTGCCCCAACCGACCGAGACGTGCTTGGAGAGCTTCAGGTCCTCAGAACTGAGTCCTACCTCAGCGATGACGTCGAAGCTTCGACTCATAAACACTATTTTCGCGTCCCCTGTGGCAAGGACAAGCAGCTCCTCGTCCGGAGACCATCGTGCCGCAACAATGGACGGTGACAGCGTGCCTACGATCTCGACGTGTGCCTCGCCAGGAACAGCGATGCCTTCTTCATCTTCGGTGACGACCACGATGTCACCTCCGGCCATGATCACACATGTCGTCAAGGTATCGCTGAAGTAGTGCATGCTCCTGATGACATCTGGCTCGCCATTCTCGGTCTGGCTCAAGACATCCCACGATGTAATGAGTCTCGACTCTCTAGTACAGGTTTCCCTCTGCTCAGAATCCAGTGCCTCCCAAAGAGTAATCGAAAATAGAGAGGGCAGACAAGTCTTACTACTTACAGATGTGAGGGTGGCAGATTCTGGGTGTGCCTTGCGAGTCGCAGGAGCTCGATGCGGGCATCGTCGGGTGCCGGCCCGCGCGCGACAATCACCTCATCCCTCGACACATCCCAGCAGGTAGCCGACAAGGTCAAAGTCGAGGATGAGGTCGATGGCGGGGCACGGAAGACGGCATGCCCGATGTTGCGTAGGTTCCGCATATCGATTATCGAAATATCGAATGATCCAACCTTAATCAGCGACACTAATGAATGGCAGTTGCAGCTAGTTGGAGCAGCTTGGAATCATTGTCGATGTTAAAATAATAAACAGCCTTATTATTTTCGAAAATGTCGGCGGATAGGATACTGCGGAAAGTGGTGACTTGAAGAGGAGAATGACTGAAATTTTTGTAATTTTTGGCAGTCTAGTTTC